GTGTCCGACATGTCGATGGTTGACCGGCCAACGTGTGCCCCGGTAACCAACGGCCTGGGCTGTAATACGCTATGCATGCATAAAATACATATATTATGTTTATTTCTTATAATATATTTATAAATATTTTTTGATAATTTAATATAATGTCACAATTTGGAAGCTATCTGGCAAACTATCATTTATGTGTCTCCAACATCATCATTATTCATTGGTTCACGGGAAGGATTTTCCTTTAATTATAAATTCATCAAAAGTAATATAAATTTAATCGAATATTTTAGAGATATGATATGCTGTCTAAAATAAAAAATTTAAAAATTCATTAAAAAAAAGTTATTGAAGGTTAGCTGGCTGAACCTAATATAATCCTTATATTGTACCTTCAATCATTGAGTAGTGACCCGATATCTAGGTAATACCATACATACCCTCGTCAATCCATATGAGTTTATGTTTAGGATGACTCGGCAACTTCTCTTGCCATCTCAAGAGGTAGCAACATCATATTATATGATAATCATACTTGACGTGTTATCTAATATATATATATATATATATCTTTATAGGGCATACTTAAAAGGATGAATCTCATCCATTCTGTATTAATTAGTCATAATAATCTTTACGGCTAAAGTCTACTTGAGATCACATGGAAATAGTTGATAATCCATTATTCACATGCATTTCAAAACTGATTTATAGAATAAATGATTATGTATGCATAAGCATATCATTGTGAAGATCGTAAATTATTCATCAGTAGCACATGTTACCTAATTCGACGTTTAAAAATCAGGGAGGAATCCATCGTGCAAATTGCAATTTGATTAAGTACTATTGTTAGAGCTCGGTCATACAATCACACATGCAAATATGGACAAATCTCCTCACACACATTCGAGTCTAAGAATCACAACACAACACTCACTTATGTGTATTCGAACTAAATTCATCCAAGTAAATTTAATAATCCTAGATTTTTATTAACCTAGAGTTGTCACGGTCATCATAGCGTAATCATTTCTATACAAAAGTAAGCTTTTAAAATCCTTCATAAATCATAAATGTTATCTTAAAACACGGTCGTGGACTTATGTGTTCGAAAACATATTTAAAACGACACAAATAATAAACTAAATGAAATAAAAAAACATTTAAATTAAAAACATCTTATTCTAGCCTAAGTCTAAGAAAATAAATGCAACTACCCTATGCATGTATCATGGTCTCGAGTTGTGATGTCATTGTCGGTCGTATAGAGATGTCTTCCCTTGACCTCAAATAGAAGTAGCATGTGGCTTAAGAAATACTCGGTAAGTGACCCAATTATTGGGGTTACATGCAAACACATACAATTTCATGAATGAGACCTATCATATCAGTCTAGTTTCCTACGATGGCTATCCTAACGGCAATTGGATGTGTACTTAATTTCTCTACACACGGTCCGCACATGCAAGTATGGACCCACCAGTCGATTCGTACACCTCATAGTCCCCTTTTTGGTCGGGCGACCATTCTCTGGTAGCTATTGATGTTGGACACCCGTTAGGAATAGCGACCGTCATGGCAGCATTATGGTAAACATAATTATCGTTTTCTTGACTCGTAGCGTATGTGTCCGTACTATCATGAAGGAGAGGGGTATCCCCCGATGCATGCACACACAATAATGTGAGGTCCATTTTCATTATCATATACTACAACCCCGCTAGCATCTTCCTTCATCTCATGTCATTTTTATCATATCGTATGCGTTTATTGGGGTTGTATTTCATATCAATTCGTCATTTTGCATTATCAATCATATCATTCATGCTACACATATGTCATATTATAACATTGTCGTGCTTCCCGACGTAACAATTCACAATATACATAATATATTCCAAGCATGCCTTCAATATATCATATCAGCTCATCAAACATGTCGTACTATAACATATATCATATCATTCAAATATTATATCATAATAATTTTTTATTATTCTTTCATAAATCATTTCTTCTTTCCTCAATCCTATAAAGACCCATCCATTCTCCCCTTTCTCCCACCACCAATACCTCAAACTCCCTTCAAAAACTTCCAAGAGTGACACCCAAATGGCTTCCAAAGCTACAGCCTCCCTTGCCTTCCTTCTCTCTCTCAATCTCCTCTTCTTTTCCCTTGTCTCAGCCTGCAGCGACTGCTATGTCCCTTCCCCTCCCATTCCCAACCCATGCCCTCCTACATTGCCAAACCCTCCATCTGCCCATGGAAAGTGCCCTAAGGACACTCTTAAACTCGGCGTCTGTGCCAAGCTTCTCCGTGGCCTCGTCGACGTTACCATCGGCAAGCCCCCTGTGACACCGTGCTGCAGCCTCATCGAAGGCCTTGTCGATCTCGAAGCTGCTGTCTGTCTTTGCACTGCCATTAAAGCCAATGTGTTGGGCAACAACCTTAACATCCCTATCTCTCTCAGCTTGCTCCTTAATGTCTGCAAGAAGAACGTTCCCGAGGGATTCCAGTGCTGATTATAATCAATGTCTATCATGATTCTTGAGTTCTTGATTGTGTTTTGATGTATGTGGTTTGAAGTTCTTTCTGTTTTAGAATTTATTTCAAATTATTATCGGTTGTTCTATTATCTTCATGAGGTATATTCCTCTTGGAGTTTGAAGGAATCAATAAATTAAATTTTGCTTATTGGTGAATTATGTGCGATGATTTTTTTTTTTTTTAATATTTGTTCGTTGAAATTTTTAAAGAACTTTAGGCATGAAGTCTTAAACTTTAAAATCTAAATTTAAAAATGTAATTATACTAGAAACCTAAGAACTTGATTATTGAAAATTTAATCTGATATCAATACTTAACACTCCTACTAAAAGTAATATCAATATGACATAAGTCATTTATTCAATACCATATCTAGTCATACCCTTTCTAAGGCTAGCATCAAGGTTCTACTACTAGCTTACGCAAGGTTATTGTTCGTTAATTTCATAGTAGTCTTTGTTAGACGAACACGACTCTCCACAATGGTATGACATTGTCCATTTTGATCATAAGCTCTCATGGCTTTGCTTTGGGCTTCTCCAAAAGGCCTCACACCAATAGAGAGTGTATTATTTGATTATAAACCTATGATCATTCCCTAAATTAACCGATGTGAGACACTTTCATCTAAGAGTCTTATTAGGGTTCTTTTCGTTTCGTCGATTCTCAACATTCAACTTTTTGAAACTCATCTATTTCATTGAGATTACCTAAAAAGATTTAGGAAATTTTAGCTAGCTCTTTACTAGTCCCTACCATCGGATTCTAACTCATATATTATAGGTACTTGAGGTGCAATTGTATCAATAGTGCTAACTCATAGTTCATTATAGGTTATGACATTGTCAATCTAGAAAGATTCTCGATTGGGAACCACAATATCATCATCAAGGAGGAAGCGACCCTCGTGCCTGCCCAATATCATATATCTATGTAGTCCATTTTCCTTATTCGAACAAAATCACGTTTTTCTTCACCAAATCAAGCCACCCTTTCCAATTCTTTAATCAACTTAAGCCTTATCCACAATAATTTTTGGGATGTAAATTATGAAAAATTAGACATAATCTTATCATTCGTATGGTCGTACATGAACAATACCAATGACTATTGTGAATTTTTTTTAACATTATGAGAGTTAATAAAAAAAACAACTTTCATAATAGATTGCATATCAAATAATTCATCATATACATGAAAAATATTTGGAGAGGTCATTGTAATATTATAATATAGATAACAATTGGGAATTATTAAATATAAGAACAAAAATATTTCTAATTTGCGTTTAATAATTATTAGAAGATAATGAAGATTTTTTAATTCATAATCAGCCATTACTAAGAGATGACAACTAAATTGTAGCTGTCTTTCCATACATAAATGCATCCAATTTCATTATGCAATTTTGCGACTAAGTTTAATTAATAGTTGGAGAGAAAAGCCTAAAGATCTTCAAGATTTTGAGCTGAAATAAAGTAGTGTCGGACATGTCGACAGTTGACCGGCCGACGTGTTTCCCGGTAACGAACGGCATTGGCGGTAATAAAATAGCTCGTTACACATATATATCATATAATATATTTATTTCTTGTAATTTGATAATTTAATGTGTAGGGAAAAAAATGAATTTTTATATAATTTAATGTAACGTCATATTTGCATTTGTATGCTTCTCGAAGATTATTATTTATTGGTTCACGGGACGGGTTTTGACTAAATTTCATTATTTGTGCGTCATAGTTGTAATATAAATTCAATTATACTATTAAGGGTTGGTTTGATGAGCAATCTAAAAAAAATATTTAAAAACAATGATTTCAATAAAAATGAAGTTCAAGACTCAAAGGATTAAAATGTCTAAGTTTGTATCCACTCATGCCTAGAATTTAGAATATTAATTTGACACCTGATGACTTTAAAAGACTATTCTCATGACTCAATACAAATCCATAGGTCACCCAACAAAAATGTGATTGAAGAAAGCACGCTTAACTACAAAGTTCTTATAATTGAGTCATCGAACAGAAATATACACTTTATTTATTAGTATAGATTGTAATTTTCAATTATTTTAAGTCATTTTTAGTTATTTTATTCTTAGATTTGCTTTTATTCGGATGTGATCTCGGTTCATTCATACATCCTTCTTTTACTCGGTGTTGTTGGAGGAAGAAAGTCCTACATCGGCTAATTTAGGGAATGATCATGGGTTTATAATCAAATAATACTTTCTTCATTAGTGTAAGGCCTCTTGGGGAAGCACAAAGCAAAGTTATGAGAGCTTATACTTAAAAGTGGACAATATCATACCATTGTAGTGAGTTGTGTTCATTTAACATGGTATCAGAGTCATGCCCTAAACCTAAACGTGATTTACTTTATTAAATCATTTCTTCTATCCTCAATCCTACAAATACCCATCCATTCTCCCTTTCTCCCACCACCAATACCTCAAACTCCCTTCCAAAACTTTAAAGAGAGACACCCAAATGGCTTCCAAAGCTACACACTCCCTTGCCTTCCTCCTCTCTCTCAATCTTCTCTTCTTTTCCCTTGTCTCAGCCTGCAGCGACTGCTATGTCCCTTCCCCTCCCATGCCCAACCCATGCCCTCCTACAGAGCCAAACCCTCCATCTGCCCATGGAAAGTGCCCTAGGGACACTCTTAAACTCGGCGTCTGCGCCAAGCTGCTCGGCGGCCTCCTTGACGTTACCATCAGCAAGCCCCCTGTGACGCCGTGCTGCAGCCTCATCGAAGGCCTTGTGGATCTTGAAGCTGCTGTCTGCCTTTGCACTGCCATCAAAGCCAATGTGTTGGGCAACAACCTTAACATCCCTGTCTCCCTCACCTTGCTCCTTAATGTCTGCAAGAAGAAGGTTCCCGAGGGATTCCAGTGCTGATTATAATCAGTGACTTTCCTTATTCTTGAATTCTTAAATGTGTTTTGATGTATGTGGTTTGGGGTTCTCTCTGTTTTAGAATTTATTACGAATTAATATCAGTTGTTCTATTTTCTTCATGAGGTCTATTCCTCTTGGAGTTTGAAGGAATCAATAAATTAAACTTTGATTATTGGTGAGTTATGAGTAGTAATTATAAGCCTCATAATGCCGGGAGCGACCCTCGTGCCTGCCAACTATTATGTCTGCATGTGGTCTCTTATCCGGGTAAGCAAGTTTACAACTAAGGGATTATTGGGGATGCCTTGATCTCGTTTCCATATACCATTCATGTAGCACATTCCTAAGTATGAATACATACCCCATCAATCGAGATGGTTTCACTACTAAGAGTTAGTAGGCTACCTTTAATAGTCCCTACATGGTACAGTCAATCGTAGGGATCTGGCTCCATTTCCTTGCAATACCATGTAGGCCCTCGTTAATCGAAACAAATTCATGATTAGAGGCGAATTAAAAAGTCCCTCAAATGTTCCCACATGGTAGCTACGTCATGTTGTATGATACTAATCATAAATCATTAGATAGGGAATAGTAAAGTGACAAAACCGAAATCCTTATCGTTTTCATGGTTCTACTCCTTGGCACGGTATCTAACATATTTACCTTTACAAGACAATCCTTATCGTGCGCATATGTATTATGCACATCATTAAATAGTTCATTTTATACGACTTACCCTAGAAATTCAAGGAGTAGATCAAAATTGTTCAATCATAAGCTAAATAGGCTAACTATCTCATCAAATTCTGAGAATCACACCACAACAATCAATCATGGGTCGTAGACTTAACTCATTATCTTACTCATGCGTATTATTCACCTATTAGCTCAATATTAACGTATTATATCTATCAATCCTATTTTCTTACTGAAATAGGACCGCTATGATATGTTGATTGGCCTTTTTATGCGAAAACATTCATTTTAAATAGTTAATAAACAATGAATCTAAAAACATATAAGAAAAGAGAATAAATAGTATATCCAAAAACTAGAAAATAAAAAGTTGTCATAATTTTACAACTATATAATGAAATGAAATGCAACTACCCAAACACCGGTTCCATGGTTTTCACACATTGCCACTGTCATCCGTACAGAGTGTCTTACCTTTACCTGAAATTTAAAAGTAGCACATGACTTGAGTACTTTAAGGAATAGTGGGTCATGAAATGCAAACACATGCAACATAGTGTGACCTATCATTTAAAACATCATTCCATTCTTTTAGGCGACTTTTCAATCCAGGCTGAATTGGATGTGTAGTATTTCTTTATACATGGCCCACACGTGCAAATATGGACCCACCAGGGGAGATCGCACATCCCCTAGGCCTACTAGCCGAGCTAGCACTCGCTGGACAATCTGTTGTCGGACACTTGTAGGGAATAGCAGCCGTCGTATCATCATGGCAAACATAATTGTCACAATCAATCTCATAGTGTACGCGTCCATACTCATCATAATGGGAAAGTGTCTCGATGCACGTGAACACAAAGTTATGCATGAGATCCCCATAGTTTCTATCATGGCATAATATATGATACAACACAAACAAACACAAAGTTACAAATGGTATAGAACCAGGTATCGGGTAGTGTGCCAGCGAGGACATTGGGCCCCCAAGGGTGTGGATTGAGAGATCTCACATCAGTAGTAGAAGGAAACAAAACATTCTTTTTAAGGGTGTGGAAACCTCTCCCTAACAGACGAGTTTTAAAATCGTGAAAGATCCCATATCGGTTGGAGAAGAGAACTCCCTAACATATACATTTTAAAATCGTGAGAGATCTCACATCGGTTGGAGAGGGGAATGACACATTCCCCATAAGGATGTGGAAACCTCTCCCTAACAAACGTGTTTTAAAATCGTGAGGTTGACGGCGATATGTAATGGGCCAAAGCGGACAATATCTTTTAGTAGTGGGCTTTGGCTGTTATAAATGGTATCAAAGTCAAACATCAAGTAGAGTGTGAGCAAGGACGTTGAGCCCCCAAGAGAGGTGGATTGAGAGATCCCACATCTGTTAGAGAAGGGAACGAAGCATTTCTTGTAAGAGTGTAGAAACCTCTTCCTAATAGATATGTTTTAAAATCGTGAGGCTGACAGCGATACGTAACAGGCCAATGCGGACAATATCTTTTAGCGGTAAGCTTCTCAATGAACTCTCAAATGATCTAAATTAACCTCAAATGAGATCTCCTTCCCAACCATTTAAGCCTCCAATTTCTTGATAATGAGATATCCTTCCTCGTCCAATACATCTATTTCCTTTTGGAAAAAAAAAATAAAATTATAAAATTATAAGAGTTTATGTTCAAAATGGTCAATATCTTATCGAATGGTCATAGTAAGTCATTACCTTTGATTTCACATTGTAAGTCATTCTAGATGACTAGAATGATTCTCTCCTCTAAAAAACTACGAGTTTGAGATCTAAGCTTCATCAACGAATGCGGGTATTTCCTCCTTGCTTGCAAAGTATTTGATTACATGTCCTTTTCCTCTTGTGCTGTGTTAAATTACCACCAAGTCAGTGAATTTGAAAAACAAAAGACATGATCTAAACAAAAATGATATTATTCAAATTTGTATCTAATAGTTATTTCGAGAAAGATTTTTTAATTGACAACGAAAATGACAACTACATGTGTGATTGAATAATTTCTTCCCATCTGGATATGAATTAAATAGAAATTTTGTAAGTAAATTAAATAGTTCAAAATGGAGCCCATAAGATCTTCAAGATTTTAGAGCTGAAATAAAGTAGTGCCGGACATGTCCACGGTTGACCGGCCGACGTGTGTTCCGGTAACGGACGACATGGGTGGTTATAATGTAGTTATTCGGCATGCAAGAAACGCATATACCATATAATATATTTATTTCTTATAATTTTATAATGTAATGTGTAGGAAAAAAACAAAAACAATTTAAATCCTTAAAACGTTTGTAACTAAAATATTACAAAACTACTTGAATATATTAATTAAAATTCTTTCATAAATCATTTCTTTTTTCCTCAATCCTATAAATACCCACCCATTCTCCTCTTTCTCCCACCACAAATCCCTCAAACTCCCTTCAAAAGCTTTAAAGAGAGACACCCAAATGGCTTCCAAAGCTACACCCTCTCTTGCCTTCCTCCTCTCTCTCAATCTCCTCTTCTTTTCCCTTGTCTCAGCCTGCAGCGACTGCTATGTCCCTTCCCCTACAGAGCCAAACCCTTCATCTGGTCATGGAAACTGCCCTAGGGACACTCTTAAACTCGGCGTCTGTGCCAAGCTGCTCGGCGGCCTCCTTGACGTTACCGTCGGCAAGCCCCCTGTGACACCGTGCTGCAGCCTCATTGAAGGCCTTGTCGACCTTGAAGCTGCTGTCTGCCTTTGCACTGCCATTAAAGCCAATGTGTTGGGCAAAAACCTTAACGTCCCTGTCTCCCTCAGCTTGCTCCTTAATGTCTGCAAGAAGAACGTTCCCGAGGGATTCAAGTGCTGATTATAATCAATGTCTATCATAATTCTTGAGTTCTTGAGTGTGTTTTGATGTACTTCGTATGAGGTTCTCTCTATCTTAGAATTTATTAAGAATTATTATCTGTTGTTCTATTTTCTTCATGAGGTCTATTCCTCTTGGAGTTTGAAGGTTTCAATAAATTAAATTTTTCCTATTTGTTGAACTATAAGTAGTGTTTATAATTTTTAATAGTCGTTGGTTGAAAATTTTGAGAAGTTCTTAAACACAACTCTCTTAGGAATTAAAAGGAATGTAGTTTTAAAAAAAATTAAAAGTGGATTTAGTCGATGTTCTAAACCGATGTCACGGGCCATATAAGTTGAATTTGATTTTGAGGAAAAGATTTGGGCTAGTAAATAATTAGTAACTTTGGCTTAGGCTAATCACGCTTCACTACTAGTTTGGTTGGATGAATTGTTTGAAGTATGAATGGCACACGTGCTCTCTTTGGTAGCACATTTCATACCTTGTGATTGTCTAATGTTTGTTTATTATGTTTTGTTATGTTTATTATGTTTTGTTATGTTGTAAATATGAGATATGGCATGTTATGGTATCGTGTTGACACGTTATGCCATTGATGATTATGTTGTGTTACGAAAATGTGGTACTATGTTATACACTACATTATGAAATGATATAATAGGGTTATGTTACCTATGAAATTAATGAAGATATATCTTGCATCATAGATAAATATCATAATTTTAAACTATGGAGGCCTCGTGCATACTATATATTCACATGCATCAGGATACTTTCCCATTATGATTAGTACGAACGTGTACACTATGATGTTATGATACGGTATTATGTATATTATGATGCTATGTGTACTCACTTCCTTCCGTGGTATACCGGTAGCATGAGTGTATGCTAGTCGAAGGCCATGTCCAAGGGGTACGTATACGAGCTTGCCTAAGGGTTTGGTTGAAAGAATTGTTATGTATGATGACACGTGATCAGTGGCCCTGCACGTGTCATATGTGTGGTATGCTTTGATATGTGATGTTATCTTATGTGTCATCATATGATATGCCAAATAATATTATGGCATAAATGAAATGTCATGTTATGTTACGATAAGCTATATTATGTTATGAGATGTCCTAATGTACTATGATATGTTATGTTAGGCCATGATATATTATGACATGTTATGATGTGTTTGAAATAACGAAGCCTACCATGCACAACCCCTATGCCATGATTTAAAAGTTATGTTACAAATGAAATGATTTTATAACAGTTTTATGCGGGCATATTACCGATTGTAATATGTGATGAAAGAATGGGGTTGTCTTGCATGATTTATTATACTACAGTGGAAAATACGGGACTTCATGTATAATTGTATGTACACGTGAGATAATTACCATTTATGACAAATACAGACGCGTACACTATGAGACTTAAAGGACCATCATGTTTACCATGATGCTACAACGAGTTGCTATTCTCACGGGGTGTCTGGTAACAGCCCAGAGAGTGATAGCCCAACCAGCAGGCCCTGGGAGTGTGCAAACCCGCCTCGTTATATAAAGAAGTACTACACATGTGTATGTGTTTGCAGACCCTGGGGGCTCGCATGTGTGGGTCGTGTATAAAGAAGTACTACACATCTAATTTGCCTGGACTAGAAAACCACCTAAAAGAAGACGGTTTTAAATGATAGGTCCCATCATTTTGTATGTGTGTGCATTCCTTAACGCCAATAGTGGGGTCACTTGCTAAATATTTCTTAAAATACTAAGTCTTGGGCTATTCTTATATTTCAGGTAAAGGCAAGACACCCGTGTACGTATGACAGCGACGTCATTTTGAAGACCATAGAACTTGTGTTAGGATAGTTGCGTTTAATTTAATTTGTAGCTCTAGGTTATATCCAGGCATCGTTTTAATCTTTTCTTTCTTTTATTTATATTTCACATTGATTATTTTTCATTGTTTTGTTTTAAGGCTTTTAATGTGAACGTTCAAGTCCATGACATCGTTTTATGAATTATTTTAAAATGAATGTTTTTGCATAAAAAGATCACGTCATGCATGTGATAGTGGCTCTATTTCAGTAGGAAAATACAGTAGTTACACCCCTTGAGATCGAATCTAGAATAGTTTCATTTATGTTTAAATTGTATCTCTTAGGTTAGATCATGGTGTTTTCGTTATTTTGAGTGTTTTTTTTTTTCCGCTATTTCCTTGATTGTTACTTTATTTGAAATGGATTCTATGAATGTTTAAGTTTATGACATTGTATATGAAATGTTTTAAATGTACTTTTTCGCACATATTAGACACGTTACGTATGCAATGGTGACCTTATTTTTAATACAAAAATCATTCGTTTTCGTATGCATAGAGAAATTATTTGAAAAGGTCATTATACACTTAAAACATCACTAATTTGTTACGATTAAAATAAAAATAAGGATCAAAATAATTATCTGTTAAAATTTCGAGATTAAAATAAATTTTATAAAAGTTTAAGAACTAAAATAGACATTTAAAAGTTTAAAAGCCAAAATTGTAACCGTCCACTTTTGGACCAATATTAAAGCCAGACACTAAGTTGTGTACCAATGAAGACGTTGGACCAAGTTGTGTACCAATGAAGACGTTGGACCCTCGGGGTGGATTGTGATATCACACATCAGTTAAAGATGGGAATGAAGCATTCCTTAGAAGAGGATGGAAAACTCTCTCTAGCAAATGCATTTTAAAAACTGTGAGGCTGACGACGATACATAACCGACCAAAACGAACAATATCTATTAGAGATGAACTTAAACCGTTAGAAAAATAAATTAATCTCTCAATAGTGAATGTTAAAAAATAGATAGTTGGTTTATGAGATATAAAATAAATATTTTTATAAATTTATGAGAGAATCTTAAAATTTATTAATTAATTAGTTACAAAATAAAAGTAGAATGGATATTTATCTCCAAAGAACAATCTCTCCAAGTACTCGCCTTAAAATAAGGCTTGTAGGTGACCCCACACAATGGTCCTACCATTATGCCATCCCCACAATTTGTCCCTCAGATCCAAATAGTTTTTAATCTATTAATTATTATTATTTTTACATAAATACAAAAGTTAATGAACTATCATTAAATTAAAAAATAATTAAAATTTTGAAATTGAAGGAACAAGTAGAATAAAATCCTATTTTTGTTGAACTTCAAGATTTTGTCCATGTTTTTTCATTTACGCCCACATATTTCCGGTCATACCGCCTTCGCATATTGCTAGCACAGAATTAGCTGTAGCTTCTTCCTAGAATTCGGTCATGATCGTCCACTTCACGAAAGAGAAACACAAGCAACATTACCCTTATATATTAAGAAGGGTGGTAAGAAAATGTAAATTAAAAGAGAAATTTCTTCACTTCCTTCCCTTACCTCCATCCAGAAATAGAACTAACTAACCCTAAAATAAAAGTGCATTTTAACTATACTAAAATCACACTATTTTGAAAAATCTGGTCCTATTGTTCACAAAATTGACGGTTTATTCTATTCGATATAGGTAGAAAAAGAACCGAACTTGGTATGAACTCAAAGAAATCAGCATCAAATCGAAATATGTCCACTACACCGACACGACATCCCTTGTGGAGCCACTTGTCATATACCATAGAAAGCTTTGGATCATATCAATATTTGCAGCTATGGATGGACTCAAAAGAAGAAAAAAAAAATGGGGAAGAGTGAGAGAATAATATTCCCATTTCATTCCACAAAGCTCCAAAACTTTGCCTAAACTTGTGAGCTTCTTCTTCAAACCCTGCCAGCTAAAATCCCAAGAGACCACACATGGGTTGGGCAAGCTAGTGGCATCGTATTCTTCCTTCCCTCAAACCCTATAAAACCCCATCAATTCTGCCCTTAATCCCACCACCAATCCCTCAAAGAAGGCCCCAAAATGGCTTCCAAAGCTACCGCCTCTCTTGCTTTCCTCCTTTCTCTCAACCTCCTTTTCTTCTCCCTTGTCTCAGCCTGCAACAATTGCTACGTCCCAGCCCCACCCAAGCCAAAGCCATGCCCTCCTCCACCATACCCAAAGCCCACCCCTTCATCTGGCTATGGAAAGTGCCCAAGGGATACCCTTAAACTCGGCGTCTGCGCCAAGCTGCTCGGCGGGCTCGTCGATGTTACCATCGGCAAGCCCCCGGTGACCCCTTGCTGCAGTCTGATCGAAGGTCTTGCTGATCTTGAAGCTGCTGTCTGCCTTTGCACCGCCATTAAGGCCAGTGTGTTGGGCAACAACCTTAACATCCCTGTCTCTCTCAGCTTGCTCCTTAATGTCTGCAAGAAGAATGTTCCTAAGGGATTCCAGTGCTGATTCTAATTAGTGTCTTTTCCATTGGGAGTACTATGTTTTGTTATATGTCTTTGGATTTGGGGTTTGTTTTAATTTGGTTCATGGGGTTATTTTGTTTTTGGGGTTGGAACATGTTTCAATAAGTTTGCCTATTGGTAATATTATTATTAATGATTGTAGTTTTGAAGGTTGGAAATCAAAAGATCTATCATTTTCCCCTTGTTCTGCTTGCATATCTCTTCCCAAAAAAAAAAAAAAAAACAAAAACAAAAAGAGATCGGTGAATCAATCTCAAACCAATCGCCAGCAGATATTATCCACTTTGATTCATTACGTATCATCGTTTGTCACACGAATTTAGAATAAAAAACGTTTCCACGCCTTTGTAAGAAATGCTTCAGGCATTCTCCAATCGATGTGGGGTCTTACAATCCACCCCTTGGGACCGAGTATCTTCGCTAGCACACCACTCAATGTTTGGCTCTGGTATCACTATAATAGTCTAAGCTCAATCCATCACTAGCAGATAATGTCTGCTTTAATCCGTTATGTATCGCTATTAGCCTCACGGTTTTAAAACGCGTCTGTTACGGAGAGATTTTCACACCCTTATAAGGAATATTCTGTTTTCTTCTCCAACCGATGTGGGATCTCACCATCCACCTCCTTGAGAGCCTAGCATCCTCGCTAGCATACCGTTTGATGTATGATTCTGATACCACTGTAATAGCCCAAGTCCGAGTCAACCTCATGGTTTTAAAACACGTCTGCTAGGGAGAGATTTCCACATCCATATAAGGAATATTTTGTTCCCCTCTCCAACCGATGTGGGATCTCACAATCCACCTCCTTGAGAGCCTAGTGTCCTCGCTAGCATACCGTTCAATGTATAATTCTGATACCACTGTAACAGCCCAAGTCCAATTCAACCTCATGGTTTTAAAACGCGTCTGCTAGGGAGAGACTTCTACACCCTTATAAGAAACGTTTCGTTCCTCTCTCCAACTGATGTGGGATCTCACAATCCACCCCGTTGAGAGCCTAGCGTCTTTGCTAGCATACCGTTCGATGTATGGTTTTGATATCACTGTAACAGCTCAAGTCCAAGTCCAAGTCCACTGCTAGCAGATATTGTACGATTTAGTCCGTATATATCGTCGTCAGCCTTACAATTTTAAAATGTGTCTACTAGAAAGAGGTTTTCACGTCCTTCAAAAGACCCGTTTCACATGAGATCTAGGAGCGGATTTTTTATTATTATTATTTTGAGGAATTTAATATTTTATGTATACACACATACATAAAAGCAATGAATTTTAAGGTCAACCCCTTTGATGATGGGTAAAATAAAGAAGTTGTTACATGTCGACAAGTGAGAGATCGACGTGTAGTTTTGTGATGGAGGGCATGGCGGGCGCCTTTGCTCTGCATGCATGCATATGTGTCATTCTGGCGCTTAATGTGCACAGAATACCACGGATCCTTAACTTTCTCAACTTCACAGTTTTCATTTTACATTAAATTAATCAAAATATCGCTTTATTTTATATTTTATTTTTTAAATATTTTTAATCTTTTAAATTTTCAATAATGGCTACTATTCTTTTTTACCCGTCTAAGCTTAAGAGTATTAATATTATTTTTGAATTTTCATGTATATTTATTAAACGTGGCACTAACGATTCCGTTCATATACTAACCGTATATATATTTTTAAACGTATTCACAAAAATATTAGATATTTTTTAAACAATTTTAAAGTTTCAATAGTATTTTTAAAATAAAATATTTAGATTAATCGATCCTTTGTGATAAGTTGCAAAGTTAGACTTTTGCCTATTTATTTAAGATTTAATGGGATTCCTCGACTCCCATTTTCACATCGAGACAAAAGAGAATGAGTAATCGATTTGAGATGGGGAATCCATCGTCTCGATTCCTTCTCTAAAGTCGAAGACTTTTCGCAAGAACGATTTGTATTTGTTATTTCATAGTTAATATTCAGTTAGGGACGTATATGAGTAAGGTTGAGTTAGGTGGGAGAAATTTTTTGGACCAACCCAAAATTTTGTTGAGTTAATTAGATTGGTGACTCGAATGACCATAACATGGTTTACAAGCCAACTTTCTATTTTCGAGTTGGGTTGGGTGGATTAGAAAATCTATTTATCTGTAATGTTGTGTTAATAACAAAAATTACAAACGGTTCGGATCGATTCATTTGAACACTTTAATATATAATTTTGAAAATATTTATAGATAATAATAAATCAAAGTAGGATAAACTCTAAGGTATTTTTAATTTTATAAATTTGCAAGTTGCTTCATTCTTGTTCTTGGCCTTTTGCTTAATTTTGAAGTTGAATTTTATTTTTGTTTGTAATTAAGAATTTAAAAACAATATGAAAAGTTGATATTATAGATTTTTATTTTAGCTGCTAATGATTCATACATATGGCCACATGCCTCCACGCCATACCTCAAATGTATTGCATTATCCTGGATTTCCCGTGAACCTCTTTTGGCTTTTATTAAACAAACAACCTTATAAAATTAATTATTATTATTATTTTTTTTAATTACGTCTATGGGACACCATTCGAAGTTAAACCTAACATTTAATTTTATATTTAATAATTCGTTCAATTTTTTTAAAATGTTTTGAGTTATAAGTAATGTGATCATGTGCCACTCGAGTAAACGAACGGTACATGAATGAGTCGATTCTATATCCGAATAAGAGCGATCCTGAAGATAGGATAACTAAAAAATGTTTAAAAGAATTGAAGCTCTGTGCTTATACCAACAAATTGCATTTTTCTTTTTGATGACTCAATTTTTTATGACCCAGTAATTCTATGTTGGGTGATCTCTTGAAAATTTTGGTATGATGCATGTGAGTGAGACACACAGTATGCTGAAAAACTTATATTGAAATAGTGCTTAGTATTTAAAGCAAGTAGTAAATAATGTGCCTGTTGAAATAAACTTAAAAATGTTGAATGTTAACTTAGTTGAGTAGTTAGGAAAGTTAAGCTAAGAGAGAAAAGAAATACAATCAATAGAAAATATATATATATATATATATATAATTTTTTGATAAAATCAGTGTTCTTTGTTTCCTTGTCTCTCATCTTTCGACATCTTCTTCACAAATACGCGAGTAGTATTTTCACAAGGTGATATCAGAGTGTTCTATCGTTAGTGTGTGTAAGATTTACTTCACAAATTAGTGAGTCTTATTTTAACAGTGATCACAGGAGATGTAGGAGAATGACAGTATCATTAAGTGCTGAATTCGAATTCCAACGACTAGAAAATACTCGTAAAATTGTCACAAATGTTGGGAGTTTCATAATTTAAGCGTATACTAATTTGAAAATGAGAAGATATCTTCTTAAAGATGTATTTTTGTGGTTAAATGGACAAATGAGATAGCTTGGATTTATACGACAACATTGTCTCTTAGAACGTGTAGGTTAAAGAAACTAAATATCTCATCCATGTCATGTAATAAAATTACGTTATTTTGTAATTTTTATGTGGTACAAAATTGTTATGAAACGATAATGTCTCATGCATAGACCTGTGTAGACTATATCATAAAAGTTAGGCTAAGTACTACATAATGTATAAGAATCATATAAGCATAATTCCAAGACTTGTTATGTTATCGAGAAATGGAGGTTTATCTTGGATCATACATTATGCCATGGTTATAAGTTACGAGGACCTCATACACATTTGTGTGTCATGCGCATCAGGATACCTCTCCAATATGATTAATACTAACACGTATCTTACGACTTATAATTTTTTACATTTATGTTCGTCATGATATTATGCGGGTCCTTTCTCTCCGTGGTGTTCGGCAAGAACACATTAGCAAGTGCTTGACCGACAAGTCAAACCCAAATGGTGTGCGAGCCTGTCTAGAAGCCTATGCTTGTACACGTGAGCCATGTGTAAAGAAGTACTGCACATATAACCTCGCTTGATCTGGAAAGTTGTTTAAGGTCATGCTACGATATTTTAAAATGATAGATTCCACCATGTTACTTATTACGAAAGAGGGCGGAGGTCGTTATTATTAGCCGACAAACATAGACTCGACAAGATTAAGGTAAGAAAAATAGACCCCAACAACATGAAAACAACATTAAAAGGAAATGAAAATGCGAATGAATTCAAGAACACTTGAAACCATGTGCTTTTTTTCCACCACAATTAATAAGGAGCAAAGTGAATGAAATTGGTATATCCACAAACCCATCGCCCAAGACGCTGGCCTTGATGGCGGCGCAAAGGCAGGCAGCGGCTTCATAGTCAGCAAGGCCTTCCATGAGGCTGCAACAAGGTGTTACAGGTGCTCCGCCCCCAACAATCACTTTGAGCAAATCCCAGTCCAGCAACATTGCGCACATGCTTATCTTAATACCATCTTCACCACATTTTTCACCGGCGCCAGGAGACGGTGGCGGAGTTAGAGGAGGAAGAACGGGTTCTCCATCGGTGCTAGGAGACGCCGGCGGAGTTAGAGGAGGAAGAACGGGTTCTCCATCGGCGGTAGGAGACGCTGCCGGAGTTAGAGGTGGAAGAATGGTTGGTGGGTTGGAGGGTGAATCTGTAGCAGAAGGTGTTGTGATGAGCGTGGAGAAGAGAAGATTGAAGGAGAGGAAGAAAGCAAAAGCAGAGAATGAATAAGGTTTGGAACCCATAATCTCTCGATATTCTAATGTTTTGTTATAGCTATGACACCTTTTTATACGAGAGACATTGGTCATTACGTCCACTAATTTAAGGAATGATCATTCAATTTATAATTAAGTAATACTCTCTCCATTTACACCAGACAAAGTCACAAGAGATTGCGCTCAAAGTAGGAAATTCGTGTTCATGTTAAAAAAAAAAAAACTTTTTTTTCGTTAACATGTTCAAAAAAACTCGATTACTAAAAAACTAAATGGACCCGATCGATACATTTTGGAATATGTACTTATGTTCGAATAAATAAAAATAAATAAATAAATATTTTAGGGATTAATCTCTCATTTTTATTAAAAATAAAATTGTGAATAAAACACTAATTTGTTTGCTAACCATTTATTTATTTTTAAAAATTTTGTTTATTTTCTTACACCTTTTTTACCATAGTTTTTATTAATTTTTTTTAACTAAATATTTTGAATTTTTACTGTTTCCATATAAATAAAATTGAATAGTGAATGCACCATGTCTGGTCTTTTTAATGTTAGTACCAAACTCAAGAAATGGGATTGGATTTGAGTATTACAATAATTTGAACCAATTAAAGCTTACTACCAAACTAATTATAATCCACCAAATTTCTCAATTCATGAATTCTCAATTCAATATTTTATAAATACTGAACCAAAATTTATATTTATATGTATTATTATCGATAAAATAAATTTATTTATATTAATATTTCATCATCTGATTCCTATTTAGACGTTTATATTAATATTTGCTTGCTCTCGAATTTAAAGTCGCAATTTTGGGATTTTTTTAATTAATTTGTTTCTAAATTCTCCATTTATTCTTATGAAATTTTGTAGGAGAACTCTTTTATTTATAAATATAAAGTCTTGTGTGGGTTTGACTTAGTCAACTTTTATGCCCAACCCGTTTGACTTGGGCTTCGTTGGTTTGGATCCTAACTTTTTGGGCCTTTTTATGGAATTTGGGCTCAACTATTTGGATTTTGGTTTTATTGGATTTGGAGACGATTTGGGCCTACTTCTTTGGGCTTTGGGCCCAAGAGAAATTGGGATGTATAGCAAAAAATGGAAGCCCAAACTGAAAAATGGAAAAATAAATAAATAAATAACCACGGTTAATTTTATCCAAAATCAGGTAAGCATGGTTTTGGAATTACACCGAGTTTTACCCTAACATTTAGAATTAACCATTATTGGCTGAGCTTGAGAACAGAAAAGTAGGAGCACTTTTTAACCATAATTTCATATCAACTTCTTAACCATAATTTCATATCAATTGAACTCTGTTGGTTCGTATACTCTTCTATAATTTGATCTCACTTGTCTCCACGTTCTATTTTGGTTCGTCCCTAAACTACATCCTATTGGGAGAGGTTTTGTCTTACACTATATGTTACGTACTATGCTCAAGATTTGGACCAAGATTAAGAATCCAGATTCGACACCAAATGGCCTCGGTATTCCCCTGCATCCCTACGAGATAACCAAATGGTCTCGACATTCTCCTACATCCCTACAACATAATCACGTTATCATCTTGTTTTGAAACGTTTATATGAATAAAAATTATCTTTTAACATGTTTTGGATTTTTAATTTCTACTTGCAACCCTCGTATGAATGTTGATGGGAAGAATGATAATATTGAATATTAATATATTTATGAAATTAGGAAATCCACGTGGGGTTCTTAATTTGATCAAGGATGGCAAAATGAATCACTATCACCACTGCTAACATCAACTGCCATGGATCGATAATAAAAATTTTAAGAAGTTATCTCATAATGTTTTTAGTCATTCTTATTAGAATGTGTGATTGCAGAGTATCACAACCTTACTACGAGATAATAGGTTGTAAAAACCGAGATGAGACAAGACAAGTGTCATCCAATCACGTGAAGGTCGAGGTAAGACAAGTATTATGATACGATCGAAAAACATAGTGCATCATCCTACACACCAAGAAGAGTGTGCATTAAAGTTAAGTTGAGGCATAACCAAAGTAAAAGAGAACAAGACAACACGAGTGTCAAAGACAAGATCGAAGAGGGTCGAGTAGGGCCCGAACTATAACCTTAGAATTGGAGTTCGGATATAAATTTCGAGTTAAATCTATCTATATGAAAGATGAAAGTTCACCAAATTTGGTGTCCATCAGATATCCAACGAACACTCCACAAGGCCATATGACCATTCTCCACATGATGTATACTCCAAAAAGACTAGATATGTTTCAAAATATACTATAGGAGGAAGAATGATGTTAGCTCTCTCCACTACCTTTAGGTTCTGTGGCTTAAATGAGCTACCTATGGTACATACGTGTATTATAGTGTCGGTGAGCGTCAAGAGACAATCATCTCGAGCATCTTCCTTTGAAATGGATACTTCGATAGCAGTATTGAACAATACGAATGTGTCGACATTACGGCTCAATCGATGTGTCAAAAGTTAGATATGTGAGAGTATGACAATTTGAACTTTAAAACTCAAAATAAAAGGTATATATTGACTAATGGAGAGTCACGCTCGTGTGCTCTCGTTTAAATATAGTTTATATATAATTTGTAATATATATCCTATGGAGGTAATAGAAGGAAACATAATGAATCCCACTCCCTTCTCAAAAACACATAAAAAAACAACTATATGTATCATTTATGGATAGAAAGTGTAAGGATTTTCAGATCCCCAACTGGGTCTGCACCTGCAAGATGGTGTTGGCTGAGTCCCTCAGCCGTCCCGACTCCTCGTCGGTTAGATGCACATTGGTGATCCCCAATACTCCGCCCCTACCAAGCTGCGCGGGCAGGCTGAGGAACAGCTCACCTCCATTGATGCCGTAGAACCCTTTAGCAAGGACAGAGACAGGGTGGATCCTCCGCTGGTCACGGAGGAGCGACCGGGCGAGGCTTGCCACCGAGTAGCCGATCGCCCACGATGTGTAGCCCTTCAAGTTTATCACTTCATAAGCCCCGCCTATGACCTCTTTGTGAATGCTCTCTAATGTTTCCTTCTCGTAGGTGATTTGTTGATTCTGTAGAAAGCTCAGTATTGGCACTCCGCCCACGCTTATGCTTGACCATAGCGCCACCGAGCTGTCGCCGTGCTCTCCCACTATGTATGCCTTCAAACAAATATAGCTATGTTCACGAGACCTTACCATCTAAAATTACACGTGAGCACTCTATTTAAGGCGTTTGAAACATTATGAGAAAAAACTGAGTTAAGACCAATTGTTTTATGCAGAATGTTCGTATTCGATGAAATTGACCCTACATTTTCAATAGATAACAGTCCCGAGCCATTTTTTGTAGGAGTACTATTGACGATGTTAAGGATATTTAGTAATAAATTATAGTTTACCATATATATTATATTTGATATTTTATTATAAGGCAAATATCTAACATTTGCCTTATTACTATAGATATCTTTCCATTTATTGTTATTTCCATTTATTACTATTTCCATATCCTTGTAATTTATTTGATTATAAATAAGATAACTTTCACACCATTTAGGTGTGGTGGATTCAGCAAACATTCACA